GGGAATTCGGACCGCGAAAGCAATAACGCACCGTCATGGAAATGGTTCGCTACTGTCAGCCGCATACACGGCCGTCGCATATGCACTCGGCAGACCCATACCTAGAGACCTGTAGTTGCAAATTTCACATATTGACGTAAGCGTACTGTACAGTTTTGATATATGCGACGCGAAAAATCGATACTCCCGTCAATGCCGATCCGCAACATTTATACGCAAATAGATGCGATATCGCGCGCGTTCGTATAAAAATTGAGAATTCTGATAATGGCGCCTACATCGAGCTGCACTTTCGTACAATCAATCCGGGTAAAATAGTGAGCTCGTTTGCTATGATTTTCATCGCGTACCTCTTTTTAGAAATTTTATCCCAGAAATGCGAGCATAATGGACCGATCTTTTACGAATGAAAATTTTGTAAAAGTTTTATAGAGATATCTCTTAAAAAACTGCTTGAACGTATATGGTAAAATGCAGAAAGAAACTTACAATGCTTTCGTAATTGTTTGCAATTATGTGAACTATTCAAAATGTGCGATGTAAAGCTTTTCATCGAAAGGATTAAATCAAAGTATTGATTTACGATAATTAAATTATCTGAAATTTTTTAGTAGCAAAGTTTGTATAACGCTAAAACTTGTGATCTTTATAGATTACCTTACACACATGAGCAATCTTTTGCCAAGTATGTCAGTTAAAAAAAAACTAATTACGTTTTTTCTAACAGAAATATAAATCTTTTCAGTTGCTCGTGAATGAAACGGCCAGTACTCGGACAGTACTTTTATTCGTTTATTCGAATGATTAACTGCGATTTTCCACGGTATTGCATTGTCGGGATACGATAAGTGGCCTTCTCCGAGCGCACGCACACTCACGTATGCAGGCGCGCCGAAGCGCACAAACGCGCGTATAGACAAAGAGGCGAGATGAGAGGGAAGATGAGAGGGAAGATGAGGTACAGACGCGCGGCGAGCTCGGCGTCGGACGTGGTTCGAAACGCGGCACTCGCCTTCCGCGTCTTCCGATGGAATTCCCAGCATCCTCGATGTTCCACGACTCGTTCCGGGAGGCCCTCCAAAGAGGGTACTCGCGTGCGCGCGCGCGCGCGCATGGGCGGGCTAAAGCAGAATGTTTCCAGCCAAGCTACTCGACGAGGAATTTGATCCTGGCGAACGCTTGAAATCGCGACACACGTACACGCGCCGAGAGTGCGTTACCTCTTAGCTCCCTCGAACTTTAATCTTTCTACCTCGCCGCGTCCCCCATCTGTCCGTCGCGCTTCCCCCTTTCTACTTCAGGAAAGCCCGTGCATCCTTCTGCTTTTAATATTTAAGCACCGCCGTATGCCGAGGGGACACTATTGCGCGGTTTGCAGGATATATGCTGAGAGAGCTCGGTGGAAATTTTGGATGTTTGTCGACGCGTATGTGAATAGACGCCACCCCGCGACTTTAATTTTAATCACAGGGAAGCGTAGAGAGGAAAGAGAAATTTGAGTGGCCGATTGCCGTTGCAAAAACCGCAACCGCAAAAACGCGCAATTTTGTGAACCGCTCCGCCGTGTGATATTCTGCAAGTATGCTAGTTGCCGCGATATTATGAATAAAAAATGCATTTTGCGAGAATTTCAGATCCATCACGGTAGCATATTTCCTTAAGCGTTCCATCACGGACTATTCATCCGCCTTTCCGATCGCGCCGTTAGTACGTGGCTATTACAGTCCGCACTCGGCGAAATTAGGGTCGTTTAGCTCGGCGATTTCTGCCACGCGAATATGCATTCCGTGATCTCGCTCGAAATCGCCTCGCTAAAATCGCGAGTAAAAAGCAAGCGCCGCGCGCTCACTCGCCCGGTCGTGCGCACACTTGTAACTATCTGCTGGCGGATTATCGACGCGATATCTCGCGGTTTGCGCTCAAGCGGCTCCCCTTCCGCCTACTCCGAAATACGACGAAATGCGGCGTTAGCATCGTGCGAGCACCCACGCAAGTCCGCTCAGCGAATCGGTGCTATCGATATTGACTGGATATTTATCGCCGGTCACGTTTCACGCAATGCTTTCATTCGAGACTCGACTATATGCTGCGTGCTCTCGAACGCCGGACTCGTCTTGTTATTATCGCCACGCTACTCTGTTGCGGTTGCGAGCACGACAGGTAATTCATCATACCATGCGAATACGCACGGTCACTTCATCAATGATGATGCGTGGAATTTCGTGGTCGAGAGTGCCGAACGTGTGTCCCCGACTAAAATCTCAAGCATTGTCACGTCTTTTTCCTCGCGCGACCAATCATTTAAGAGTTTCCAATTATCGGTATTGTGATTATCTGATGTAATATAAAATTTCATCAAACTTGTCAATTTCTTATTTACTAGCTCTTTAATTTTACTAGATGTGAAAAGGTTAATGATCCTTTAATTCTTTTAACAAATATGATATGCAATACGTATCTATTCATCGATTCTATTGATAAAATTTTGGCGTAACTAAAGATGCGCGCAGCACTGAAATACACGCGAGTCATCGAAACAGAGTTTGTGAAATAAAAAAATATTAAATATTGTAAAGATACTTTTCTGTGAAATGAATATTCTTTAGCAATGTTTCAAGTTTCTGAGTTTCGCGTCGCTTAAAGGTTAACGAACGGTAACAGCGATCAGAGTTCGAAACTGACGTGGCGGAACCTTGCTTTGGAACAGTTTGAATCGAAAGCCGCGCAGCGGAGTTTCATCTCGGCTTCAATGCCGCTAACCTTTATCGGACCTAAATCGAAATTACTAAGCCACTACGAAATTGTACTGACGGGTTTCTGAGGGCGCGATGTAAAATCTGCATTGCGAGCGTACGTGAGCGTAACGCCGGAGAATAAATTTACATACGCGTATAGGAGAACAACCAATGTCATTGTGCGACCGGGGGAGTCGAGTCGAGGCAGGCTGAGTGTTTTACGGGTACAGATACAAGATATTCGTTCTTCTACCTCCAAGTCGTGGAATTACGTGGCTCTTGTCCTCGTTCCAATTCGTACGCCATCTAATTCCTGCGGAGACTAAACGTATTGCTGTTCAGTAATAGATACAAATTGTTGCCTATATGAAGTTAGCCCCCCATTTTTCGATTTTGAATATTTTTTTAGTTGTTCTAGGTTGTTCTACGTTTGTTCTATATTGTTCCAAAGTTATGAGCAAAAAAATCGAAAAACATGACGGGAAAAGCAAAAAAACGATTTATTTTTGTGGCCACCCATTTTTTAAAAAATTCAAATTTTTTTGCTGTTCTGGATTGTTCTAATTGTTCTAAACATTGTTCTAAAATATTAATATCCTTAAAAAAGAATTTAAAAAGATATAGCAAAAAATAGCATTAAGCGTCCAAATAGTATTTTTACATTTATCGCTATTATTATATTATGTTTTGACACCAAATTACATATTTAAGCTAAAAACGAATAGAACAACCCAGAACAACTCTCAGTTTCACCAGAACAATCATATAAAAGGCACTTTACTCTTGAAGGTAGAGAATTATTTTGTCTTTTTCGACCGATAATGTTACATC